GCCGCGTGAAATAAGGAAGTAAGGGTTACTAGAATGGCAGAATGGTGCAATGTATATGGCACTTTCCATATATATGGTGCAAATTAGTTTCCGATAATTTTTTAAGTGACAAAAGCACAAATCCCACATTCTAGTTTTTGATACACTATCATTCAAATGTTTTTGAAAGACGTATCTTATGCTCACCAAGGCTGCATTTATTTGATTAAAAATACAGTAACAAACAGTAATATTGTGAAATAGTATTACAATTAATAATAAATGTTTTCTATTTTAATATATTTTAAAATGCAATTTATTCCTGTGATGGAAAAGCTGAAACTTCAGCAACAATTATTACAGTCTAGTGTCACATTATCCTTCAGAAATCATTCTAATATGCTAAAACAGTGAGAAATACAGAAGTAAGGGTTAATAGAATGCCAGTAAGAGCTCAATTTGCACTTTGGCAACTGAAATGACACTGGTGGACTATAAATAAATATTCAGGGCTATATATAAATTTGAATTCTCTATACAGTATCTATGGTAGATATACAACTATATAACTATCAAACTGTTTTGGAAGTATAACCGTTACATTTAGCATTAGACTAAGTGTGTTATATTTATATTCATCACTTATATTCAATATTTTAACTAAAAGTGGGTGGCATGTAATGAAACTATCAGTAAAGCACAGTATTTATGTCGTAAACGTCCATCTGAGAACGTTGGCAACAAAAATATCAAACAGTTCAGTTCAGTAAATTTTTAAGGGGTCATATGATGCGATTTCAATTTTTCCTTTCTCTTTGAAGTGTTACAAGCTCTTGGTGCATAAAGAAGATTTGTAAAGTTGCAAAAACTAAAGTCTCAAATCCAAAGAGATATTCTTTATAAAAGTTAAGAGTCAACCACGCCTACCTAAAATGGCTCGTTCTAACACGCCCCCACATGTCTACGTCACGATGTGGGAAGATTTGCATAACGCCGCCCAAATATTCACGCAAAGAAAGAAGGCGTAACTTTTATTCTCGCTGTAGTATTGTTGTTGCCGCCGCCGCCATGTTGTGTCAAGTAATTTGTGTTCTACAGAAGAAAGAGAGTCACACAGGTTTAGGACGACATGTGGGTAAGTGAACGAAAACAGACTTTTCAGTTTCAGACGAACCAACCCTTTAAGCTGTAAATAACCCAAAGTATTTGTCAAAGCCTGTCAATATTACAACGATTTTTACAATGTATTTACGAGGAAGACAGCAGCCTTACAGCATCTAATTGTAAATTCAGCCATGCAAGCTCTTCTTTGCACAGAGGTCTGAGTCCTGCCCCCGAAGCCCTGCATCTCAGGTGCCAGAATCAAGATATTTCCCCTGGGATGAGCAACGAGACAAGACTGATATTTACCTTGAGGGCTCCACAGAGCTCTACTGTGTCAGCATCATCCACCACAGTGATTCTGAAGGTAGGCGTCTGCAGGAGCTCTTTGAACAAGAGGCCGTTCTCCAACACCTTGCTGCCTGTGGATCGAAGAAAATATCTGTTGAGTTTGCCCCTGGTGGTTTTTAACATGTTTAGTTGCTAGAATGCAATGCTACCTACAGAACACTTTTCACTCACCAATGGTGCTCTCACAGAACTTCTCAGCTGCCACTTCATTGGCAATGTTGGCCCCCATTAAGACACTGACATCAATGCCCATTTTTTCCCGAATTATATCAGAGATGAGCTTCAATCCTTCTGGTCCTTCATCAATGCCCTACAAAGAAATAAAAAAAGGAGTCCATCGACACCAATGCCTTTTTAATGTAGCATCACACTATTTCCCCCTCAGTAGATATAACTCTGGAGCACAGCTGTTTGGACCATCTTTGCCTAATGACTCAAAAAATGAGGAGGAACACCAACGCAGAACAAAAAGAATAAAGGAGGTGAAATGCGTACACAAGAAATGGGTAGAAATCTGAAAAAGAGAACAAACAAACCATATGTTTTAAAATTAAACAGGTAACCCTGTAAGAAACTAGGCTACTTTTCAAATAGTGAAGTGGAAAGGATCAATCTAATTTGGTGAGGTATAACTGCAGAGATGCATCGCTGTGCGGCACAGCCAGTAACAGAGGAGGCAAACTGGCACCAGGTGATAAATTGCACACAAAGAGATTGCCAGCAGGCCAGAGGGACGTTTTTTACCCATGATTCACTCCACATATGGTGCACTTTTAAAAAGATATCAAGTCAGAGACTTCTCAGCATTGTTCATTCCCAAACATTCTATCTGCATGGAAGAGGATGCACAAGGTTTGACCAAAACTTGGAATATTAAATCAAAAACAGCCATGGGTAGCATTTTATTGGCACACTGCTGAGTATAATACAGAAGGTATACAGCAATATTATTTAATTATTTAGAATAATTACTTGTTTGTCTGACATAAAAAATTAGATTGTGGCATTCATTATCGTTGCACAATGGGAATAAATTATTGTCCGTTTGTGTGGTAACTCATTGGTTCGTTATGAAAATGCATTTTGAGAAGAATCATCATGCTCATTCATAGCCCTTCAGTTTTTTAAGCCAAATTAATTTGAGCGCAACCTTTTTTAAAATAAATCAATAATTTAGCTAAATATCTCTGTAGTAAACTATCTCTGTTTTCAAACTTAATAAATAAATTTATATTACTTTAAAATTAATTTGATAATATTACTGAAGGGGAAAAGTGTCTAGACCACATTTTAGACCAACCCTTTTCCCCCTTCCATAACACATTAAAAATAACATTTATTTGATAAAGCAAAGTAATATTTTTAGACAAATTACAGCCTAATTGACACCCACTATCTAGTTTAAAACTAGGTTACCAAGTTGGTTTCAAGGCTGCTGTCAAATCCGCATCAGGTTATAGTTAAACAACGACAAAACCTTACCTTTGTAAACCCCCTTCAAAAAACATTACAATTATATACTGTACAATGCAGAGCATTCTTACTTTGATTAATGTAATTCCACGAGCCTTATCCGAAACACAGCCCACAATCTCATCGCACAGTTTCCGGATAAACTGATGAGGGACAACGAAAACCAGGAGGTCGGCACCTTCTGCGGCTTCCCGAAGCTGCGGCACCGCAACCTACAAGAGAAACACCAGAAATCTGATGCTTATATCAACACCCTAGCAAGCTTGAACAAGACTATATTTATGCAGAATGGTATGCAAAAGAAGATTTGGTTTCAAGTGATAGTCAACAGATGGCAAGCATGCAAATGAGAAAGACTAATATCAATTTCAAGTGCAATATTTAATTTTCACATGGATCTTAATGAGCTTAATCTTTCTTAATCATTATTAAATTGCAAAAAAAATGCAAATGACACTTACGTATTATTTTACCATAATTTATTTACAAAAATAGAATTATTATCCACAATTATTATTTAACAACTATTAGAGAACTGTCTTACCACATTCTCTGGGAGTTTGTAGCCTGGAAGGTACTTGACATTCTCGTGTTCTGTGTTGATGATCTCAGAGAGCTTTCTCTCGTTGACCATTTCTTCATAAACCCACATCTTGACTGTGGTGGCAAAGCGCTGGAGTTTCTGTGCATTGGTGCCAATAATTCTTGCAATTGCAGAGCCCCTTGGCACAGAAAAACACAACAGTATCTTTAATCAAAATGCCAGTCTGTTGTTAAACAGCAGTTCACTCAGGCATTCCAAGCAGGGTTTACAACTCCGAGAAGCTGCTTTGCCAGCTGCAGTCAAATGAGCATATACAGCATGCAGTGCAGATCTTCAGATCAATGCAGTTAAGTCATTAATCACTTGATTTTGCCCAGAATAATAATGCTTAACATATGGATCTGAATATCAGCTCGCTGTAACTGCTGTTTCTTATAGGGAATTAAACTTGTGCACTAGTCTAAGCAAGTCATGTCTGAGCTATAACAGTTGGTCCACGCCATATGTTCTGTATATTAATCTCATTACCAATCACATATTTATCATATTTAATCATTACACGTTCATACTCACCAGTTTCCTGAACCAACAATACATACTTTCAGCGGAGCAGCCATAACCACCTTTGCTTTTCACAAGTGGATAAGTGTTTCAAGTAAACAATATAGGTAATAATACTATAAAGTCAAGCAGTTACTCGGTGGGAGGGAACGTGTTGGTCGACTTTTGACTGCGTCATCAACGATGGCTGGGGATTCTGGGAGTTGTAGTTTTCTTTTGGTCCCACAGGTTACTTTTCGCTGCCTAAAATAGTCGCTGTAAAAACCGTGACACAGTCTGGCCAAGTTTATGTGTATACCGCAATTCATTAGGCGTGGAACTAATTGTTTACTCTACTTATGGCAGATTGAAGCTTATAACAGAATACATTGTGAACGATATTCCTTAATAGCGAATTACATTAATATCTATTATATTAATGCATACTCATAGTTTTAAAGAAATACCGTATCGAGGACAAAATCTGCATAATGGGGTTATTTCTTTCTTTTTTCTCTCGTCTTCTCTCTGTTTTTGCCACTGTTCAAATGCCTTTATGCAGACTTGATAGAATTTTACAAAAGACCCACAAACGTAATCATAATCTATTATAAAAGCATGAATTGTTGAAGGCTGAAAACTGCGACAATATAAAAACACGTTATTAAAAATATATTTTTAATGTGTGAAAAAAAAGTTTGTTAAAAAAAAATATATTATTACAGTTGTGTAGTTTCCTTCTCAAAGAACACATAGCGTAATACAGAAAATATTAAATTAAAAATCATTAGGTAGGTAATCATAAACTGATATCTGCGAATTGACACATTTTTATTTTTATTAATTTATTTATATGAATTGTATTTGTTTTATTAATATTTAATTTAATATATTTATTACTTCAATTCATTTACTTCTGTGTTTTTTAATTATTAATGCTGTTTTTCCGTACGTATGATAATGAGGGGGCGTGGATTTACGTTCAACCGTCATATTCACATTCACGAGCGCAGCATTCCTGTCGGTGGAGCGCGGGAGGGGAGTGACCACACACTGATTCCAATGGAAACCCGGAGAAGCCCATTAAAGAGTCCAAGGCAAGCCAGCAAGAGAAAAAATGAAAATATTCTCCAGTCACCTCCTCTCCATACGATGAGCGTTTTCAGCAGTATCTTTGTTTTGCTTTTGAAACTGTGCTTTGGATTTTGAACCGTCACATTGTATGATCCAGAGTTTGGAGTAATCATGGAAAACACATTGAACGTGTCGCACTCAGGGAGCAGTAAAGGAAAGTGTTCCGCGGATCTGGGGAATCCCGCACACAGACAGGCAAGAAGCGGCTCGTATAGTCCGGGAACAGGGGCTGTCTCGGACACTCATCCGTCTCAGACCCAAAAGAGACACTTGGAGGGGGTTTTGAACAAATACACCAATTTACTACAAGGCTGGCAGAACAGGTAAGTTAAAGAGTTTCTGGCGTTTGCTCACACTTGATTTCATCAACTTTTAGGGGATGACAAATGTTTTTCATGGTAGACTTATAGTCCAGATTTTTCACGTGCTGGGCATTTCTGCTCATATCATTCCATCATTTCCATGACATCCAGAATCTGGATCAAAGAATGAAGACACGTCATCTTCCAGCAATAAACAGAACGCGGGTAATTTCCGTGCATTATGACGCTATACATGAATGAAATCATATCTTTCATTGTTTACATTTGTTCGGTTTCTGCCTCTGTTGATGCTGAACATCTGGGCAGCTTTATCCACCCACCTAAAGATCGTGTTTGATTAAGTTTTTGTCAGAGAAAGCAGTATAAAAGAATGAAATTAATATATTTCGATCCATTATGACATCATGCATGAAAAAATCAAAGTGTGGTTAATATATATATATATATATATATATGGATATATATATATGTGTGTGTGTGTGTGTGTGTGTAGAGTTAAAAAAGTTGTTTTTGACACGGTCCATGTCATATTTTAGTGATGTTGCATTTTGTATAATCTGATGAAATCTTTTGAGATGGAAGATGGAGATCACACCCCTTAGTTTGCCTACCTGTTATCTAAGTTCTGGTGTTATGTAATTTTCTCTTATGATTTGATTTATCCTACAAGCTCATTGCAGATTTGCATAGTATAGTAAAATTGCATTAGTATGAAGGTTATTTCTCTACATAATAACACAAAATCTAGTCTGAGATAATTAAGAAGGTCTTCGACATCAGTGATCTGAAAGGTCATGATTTCATGAAATTGTCCTCTGTTTTAAAGGACCTTCCCATAATGAAAGGGTCTATTTGTGGTCAGGAATCTAAATGTGAAATGAGCTCTTTACCAGCTGAGCTATGCAGCAACACTCCAAAGCAAGAGGCTCTCATTGAAAGCGGGAGGTTTTTTGTTTTTGTCAGATTTCATGGTTGTGTGTGCTGCAGGGTTGAGTGCAGCACAGCCCACAGTGAAGGCTCTTTCATCTGGGAGAGACTGTGACTCATCCGTGATGGGAAATCCCTCACATCCATAATGTTGTGCTCATTCTGTTGCTTAGTCCAGCGATCGATGGAGGAACAGGCCAAGCATAAAAAGAGCATCAGGACCAGAGGGTTACCCACCCTCCGCAATGGCTCAGAAATAGCCCTCACGTTAACCTCAGCACTAGTCACTGTTTAGTGCTTAATGATTTGTGGGTGTGTGTTTGAGAGAGGTTTCCACACCACTCAATACTTTGACCTGATGAGAATTGGGCCTTGGAGAGAATAACTAACTGACTAGAACCACTAAGAGAATGGTTAATTCACCACTGAACATATGTTACATTTTAGCACAGTTAGAGATTGATCATGTCACTTAAAGGGGGTCATATGATGTTGCTAAAAAGAACATTATTTTGTGTATTTGGTGTAGTGAAATGTGTTTATGTGGTTTAAGGTTAAAAAAACACATTATTTTCCACATACTGTACATTATTGTTTCTCCTCTATGCCCCGCCTTTCTGAAATGTGTCGATTTTTACAAAGCTCATCGCCGGTCTGAAAAAGCGAGGTGTGCTCTGATTGGCCAGCTATCCAGTGCGTTGTGATTGGCCGAATTCCTCAAGCGTGTGACGGAAATGTTACGTCCCTTACCATATTGTGATGCCTGCGGCAACCACATGTGACGACCCCAGGCTGGACTCCGCTTCGTCCACAGTGAAAGCCGATCCGACGATCGACACCGCGAAGTTGAAGTATTTGCTCAGCGACCAGCACGGATCAGCTCCAGGCATGACGAAGCAATATCGTCCTCTTTTGGAAGGCCAAACAAAGTCGTTTCGCTTTCACAACGAAACACACATCGCCTTAACGATATGGAGGTGGCAGCAACAATACTACAGCGAGAATAAAAGTTACGCCTTCTATCTTTGCGTGAACATTTGGGCGGCGTTATGCAAATCTTCCCACATAGTGACGTAGGTATGTGGGGGCGTGTTAGAATGAGCCGTTTTAGGTAGGCGTGACTGACTCTTAACTTGGATAAAGAATATCTCTTTGGATTTGAGACTTTAGTCTTTGCAACTTTACAGATCTTCTTTATGCACCAAGAGCTTGCACTCAAAGAGAAAGGAAAAATTTAAATTGCATCATATGACCCCTTTAATATGCCAGGGTATTCTTTGAAGTACCATGCATTTTTTAATTACATTTAAATAGTCTTTACTGCAGTTTTATTGTATTATACATTGCGCCATACCAGCATATATTAAATCTGACCACAAGTAAGAGGTTATGTCCCCTTTTTAAAAAATAAATTGATTAAAAAAATACAAATGTTATTCACATATACAAATAAATAAAACAAATTATATTTTTTATTTAGTAATTTAAGTCATGATTATTATATTAAAGTATTTTTAATATGATGTTGAATTATTATAATATTATGATAATTTTTATTCAGTTTTTTAAGGGTGAGGGTATATATAACACAATGTCTTTTTTGTGTTGAATCATACTGGGGGATGAGGTTATGTAAGCAAATGTCACCAAAGGTCCACAGTGATCGTCTGTCCTCCGCCATCAAAAGCAATGCTTTTGTTACCTCTTTGATCTTCATACTTTTAGCTGCTTTTTAAAATAATGATGTGTCTTTGTCTAGCTTTCAGAGACCCCATCAGAGAGACCATGGATGTGAAATTGGCAGCACATCCATTTTTTATTAAGAGAGGGTGACTTTTGTGTTATAGCACCCAAACCGCATGATTACAATTAATTCCCTGCAGAGTTACGATCCTGTATAAAGCACCTCTCTGGTTGGCTCTGACAGTGGGGAACTAGACGTGGCATGTAATGCATCACGAATAATGAGGAAGGGAAGGAGAGAGACAGTAATAATGGTCACCGTAAAACTCATGTGCTTTTTTTGATTTTAGCCAGTTGTACTAGCTGTATGTAGTTTATTTCTAAGGCAAGCATCACTGGTACTATTGCTCATACTTTTTAACAAACCCCTTAAGTAGTAAACTTGGGCATATATTGTAACTCTTGCATTTCTGTTACGGACATAAATAAAAATAAACAAATAAAAAGACTTTGTATTTTCACCTGGCATGTAATAAAATGGATGGAAAGAATCCACAAACTCATATCTACACTCTGGCAACCAACAATAACATGGTAGGAACCTCATATCAACACAGTAAAACCACACAGATCACTTTAGGAACTGCATAACAACGCCCTGGCAAGGACCATGAGTCGGGACTCGAACTTGGGTTGCCAGAGTTGCAGTTGCACTATGTGTCAGTGCACTAACCACTAGTCTGTCAGTGCCGATGGTGTTACCAAGTCTGCGTTTTTTAAGTGGAACTGGGCTGCTTTTATGCTGCTGCCATGGGTTAAAGCGAAACATCCCCTTTACTGTTAGCGAACATCCCCACATGGCTGAGAGCGCATTTAGATGAATATAGAGATATGTGCTGCGAGCTTTCCTCTCAAAAACAAAATAAACCCATTGGCGCCAATAGCAATGTGCCGACATATAGTGCCGTTGTGTTTCAGCCGTCCCGAGTTCGAGACCCAGCTCGCTGACTTTTCCTAATCCCACCGCCCCCCCCCCCCCCCCCCCCCTCCCTCCCCCTCTCTCTCTCTCTCTCTCTCTCTCTCTCTCTCTCTCTCTCTCTCACTCTCTCTCACACACACACACACACACACACACACACACTCACTCACTCACTC